ATTGTGGAGCAATTGGAGGAATGAAGGTTGGCAGGGGAAACCGAAGTACTCAGAGAAAACCTGCCCCAGCGCCACTTTGTCCACCACAAATCCCACTTGACCAGACCCCGGGATCGAAGGCCGTCGTTGTGGGAAGCCAGCGACTAACTGCTTGAGCTATGGCGCGGCCGAATAGTATAGTTACTAAGCTACATACAGGAAGATCGAGGAATCGGCGTTAGGTTCCCTGCAGGCGTAACAGGTCATTCTCTAAGCTACATCGATGAAATCGGTTCTTGAACCCACCCAATCTCCTTTCAAATTTGTACCGGGGATTCATTCCCTGGGGACGGTTACATCGGCTGGGGCGTGAAGCTGACCACTTCCATCGAATACCTCGGTTAAGGACGCGTTGAACAATACTTCCACTCGCCCCCTACGTCTTCATGACGTGGTTCTCAATTATAGCAAGGAGAACTTTGACTTTACCTTGTGAGCTGTGCCAATGACAAGGAAACAGAGCGGCATCTGAGCTTGTGTGCACGCGTTGTCGTGTGTTTACATTCTCACCGCTCCATCAGCCCATACGTATGTGACACATGTTCCAGCAGCCTGTCTTGCATTGTTACCACACATGGGATTTAATCAGCGTCAAAGGGAATTCCAAATCTGGCAAGGTGTAACAAGATTGTGTTCACTTGAGAGTTAACCGTAGAACTTTCCGTGTTGCAGTGTGTGACCGTCACTGTGACAAGGCACGTTCCTGCCCGTGGTGGCCTTCAGTGGCCTGCAGACTTGCACCTGTACTTCCTGTTATTTATTGACTGTACAACCCGTATAGGTTAGCGGTCACACTCCCACCTGAGGTACTGTCGGTTCGAACCCAATCCTGATCCATCATGGTGTTCGTGATTTTATCCAGTCCCCCAGTTGGCGTCTTAGCCTAGGTCACGGCTCACGCGTCTCGTTTCGCTTAACCACAACATACAGTCGCGATGCTTGATACGGCCGAATAAACTAGAGACTTATGTTTAACGACGACATTGATGGCTCAGACCGGATGGTAAGGTGCCGGGCAATTGGCTCAAGTAGTAAAGCTTCTGACTTGTGTTCGGGGGCCGTGCGTTTCGAATTTCGGCCGGGGCACCAAATATCCTGACAGATGTCTCTTGGTTTTCCTCAGCTCCACAAGGAAGATGCCTGGACTGTTTGAAATTAGGCCACGACCACTTATTCCCACATCCTTTTCAATTCATTATCCACTAATGATCCTACATTTCAACGCTGTGTAGCCTGAGCTACTGAAATTGTCATTAAATAAGCAACAGACAAACAGAGGAGGTACGGAGGCTGTCCGCACAGCTGCCTACAGGTGATGCTAACTCGGCCTGGCACCATTATGAGCGGTCGAGATCGCATAACTATTTTGAAGCTTAAATGAACCCTTTAAAGCCCAGTGGTTAGTATACATACCACCCCCTTTATCATTCTAAAACCTTACATTCTGCCCACAGAGTGTAGGTATCTCTGTGTTCCGTATGGGTCTCACAATAAACAGCGACTGTTTCCCTAGACAGTATTAACCCGTTGGGCTCTATAGCGGAGACGTAATGTGTTTCCTGTGAGGTATGGACTGGATTTATACATATGATATACAAGTAATTCAGGCTTTAAAGGGTTAAACACATCCGGATGGCTTGAGTTTCACAAGGCGGTGAACAGAACTGCGAGCGGTGTTCTGCGGAGGCTTTAATTCAGGGGATCCTCGCTGTGGTTCAGTCCACACTCGCCTTCCCGTCCGCTGCCTGGAATTCGCTTACCCACAAGTTTACGTGTTGTTTGTGCGGGTTTGAAGCATGGTGTCTCTCACTTAAGTGAACAACGTAAACAGAGGGTGTTTGAGAACAGGGTGCAGGGGGAGGAAGTGACAGGAGGATGGAGAAAGTTGAATGGGGAACTTTATAATTTGTAATGCTCGCCCGATATTAGAACGACGAGATGGGCAGAGCATTTAGCACGTATGGGACTCATAAAGAAGAGCATACAAATTCTTGCTAGAAATACCTGAAGGAAAAAAAAACACTAGGGTGATTTAGGCGTAGTTGGGAGGATAATATTAAACTGGAACGTAAAGAAATTAGATGTTTGTGTATGAAGTGTATTAATCTGGCTCATGATTGTAGTCAGTGAGAGCGGGATAATGAAATAAAAATCGATAAAATTATCCCATCTTGAATTTAAGAAAATCAGTCGATGATTTAGGTGCTGACGGACATGGTCTCTGTAAAGCATGCGAAGAATTCAGTTCCTGCCTCACAGAAAACATATTACGTCTCCATGGCAACCACCAAGTTGTGAATGCTGTTTAGCGAAATAATCGCTGTTTACTGTGAGAACCGTACGGAACACATCAATACAATGTGTCTGCAAAATACAGAGTTTCTGGATGTTAAAGCAGTTACCTCTTTTCTATAAAGAATTGGGGTCTTTCCGAAATGTCCTTATAAGCGACCCATGTCGGTTGTTTAGTTTGAAAATCACCCCATGGCGGATTTTAATTGAATTTATCAGTTATGGTTCACGTTTGGAAGTGCTACTTGCGTTAGAGTATGGATGTTGTAATATTCATACTTTGTTAAATATAGCTTTACTTAACCCTTTAAGGCACAGCGGTAACTGTATGTACCACCTGCTTCATAGGTCGGGAAATCTGCACTCTACCCACAGGGTGTATTTGTATGTTTATTATGGTTCTCACAACAAACAGCTTTAACAGTTTGGTGCTTGTAATAGAGACGTAATGTGTTTTCTGTTAGGTAGGAACTGCATTTTCATATGCTATTTAGATGAACTTAGGCTTCAAAGGGTTTCGTGAAATTATATTGGTATCTCAGTTATAACCTAGGAGTCAAGAAAATTCCAACCTTCTATGAAACCCGAATTTCATTACCGTATTCACAAGAGCCCACCACTCTTCCTATCCTGAGCCAGATAAACCCAAGCCACATCGCACATCCTATTTGTTTCAGAATCATCTGAATGATTTCCTCTGATTTATCCCTTGGTCTCTCATGTTACAACTTCCCTTTGCTGTTTCCGAATACTGTTTATACAGTTCCAGCATATCTTTATGTGTGCTGTGTGTCTAGCCCATCCTTTTTTGATACTATCTCTCCTGGAATGTTTATTATTATTATTATTGGAGGGGGTGGGTTTCCCCATGCACCGCGACTAATTATTAATCTATTGTGCGTCCCCCTATAATTTCTATATATATATATAATTTCTCCAGTACTGGTGCTCGCTATCAGCCCCGTTCTACCAGCGAGGTCGGCCCTCTCTGGCAGTGGTCCCCGATACTTCCCCATCTACCGGAGGAATTTTTCCATGAATTTTTCCGCCCTTAAAAATTCAACGATCTCCGCCGGGTTTGAACCCGCGTACCTTGAGTCATGCGGTGGGAACGTTACCCGTAGACTACGGAGGCCGCTCTCCTGCAATGTTAGGCGAAGAATGCGCATTGACGCCTCTCTGTCGATATGTTTGATTTATGAAACCTTAAGGAAAGAGACCACTAAGAAGAGAGCAGGCATAGATGGTAAGATAATATGATTTTTGATCTTAGAGAAATTTATTTTCAGTTTGCGGACTGGAGTTGTCTGGCTCACGTTAGTCACCTGTGACGAGATCTTGACTGTTTCTTCTGTTAAGGCGCGTCCACATTACTTGTGCTCGTGTGACTCGCTATTCTCGCGAGTAATGTGGACGATATGACAAGTCACGAGACAAGCAATTTAACATTTATAATTTAAAAATTATAGCCAATAAAATTAAACACATAGAAAACTAAGTATATGTTACTGTCTCGTCACCAAAATGCAGAGCAAAATCATGACATAAAGATAGGAAACAGATGTTTTGAAAATGTGGCACAGTTCAGATATTTGGGAACAACGATAACAGATCGAAACCTGATTCAGGAGGAAATTAAGAGGCTATTGAAGTCGGGTAATGCTTGCTATCGTTCAGTCCAGAACCTTCTGTCTTCTCATCTGTTGTCCAAAAACATAAAAATTAGAATATACAAAACTATAATTTTGCCTGTGGTTCTGTATGGGTGTGAAACTTGGTCTCTGACATTAAGAGAGGAACATAGACTGAGGGTGTTTGAGAACAGGGTGTTGAGGAGAATATTTGGACCGAAGAGAGATGAAGTGACAGAAGTTTGGAGAAAACTGCATAATGAGGAGCTTCATAACTCGTACTCTTCTCCAAGTATAATTAGAATGATCAAGTCAAGGAGGATAAGGTGGACAGGTCATGTAGTACGAATGGGAGAGCCGAGGAATGCGTATAGGATATTGGTGGGAAAGCTAGAAAGAAAGAAACCACAGAGAAGACCAAGGCGTAGGTGGGTGGTCAATATTAGAATGGATCTTAGAGAGATAGGATGGGATTATATGGATTGGATAGATCTGGCTCAGGATATGGACCAGTGGAGGGCTCTTGTGAACACGGTAATGAACTTCTGATTCCATAAAATGCTGGGAAATTCTTGAGTAGCTGTAGAATTGGCGGCTCCTCCAGAAGGGCTCAGCTCCATGAGTAAGTAAGTAAGTATAGCCAATAAATTAAAATACGACTACAGCCTATACACACTACGAGTAAATATACGGATCCTCACGCGCCGAAGCCTGGCGAGCAACTGAAGTAGTGTGGACGAAGATTTACGAGCACAAGTAATGTGGACGCGCCTTTAGACAGCTGCTGGAGTCCGTAGTTGGTGATATCGTGGGCTTCATATCGTTTACCTCGGTCCAACGCGTATTAGTTCTACCAGTACCTCTTCTTCCTTTCCGTGGACGGTGATTAAGATCGCCCTGCCATCATATTGGTCACCAGTTGCTGTCCATCCCACACGGAGATACACATCTTGTTTGGTGACAGTTTCCAGCTTCTTGTGTTACGCAAGCAAGCCCCTTCCTTCTCCTGCGAGCCTCCTAAGCTATATATTGGGGCGGCCTGCGGACCGCCTTCCAGTACTCCGCGTGATCTGGTGGTCGAGGAAACTGACGGTGAAGGTAAGTAAACGTGTGAGGTGCGTAGTTCTGTGGGTAGATACGTCATGCTCTGAGGAACTTGTCGACATGAGAAGCCAAACATCGCGTCGTAGGAGAGGAAAATACAGGCAACGGGAAGTTTGAATTATAGCCATAGTGGTGTTCTCGAACCTTAAGATTCCAGGGAGCGTTTTTGTATAGGACAAATTGTGCATTTCAATTGCATCGACAGCTTTTGTTCGAAAGTATTTCCCGTCCGATAAATAATTAAGGAATTAAGCTTGAGATCCGCACAAGAACGCGTATGGTTCTTCACGTCAAATGACTGTTACTGTTACCGGATTTTAACAAAAAATACGGCGGCACATTTCAGTAAAACTTACCAAAAATAGAATTTTACGAAAATCCGTTCACTGGTTCTCGAGTTAATGTGTTTCCTGTGATGTAAAAACTGAATTTTTATATCTTACTTAACTTCGTCTACACTCCATGGACCGGAGTCACATTTAAGAAGCCAGTAGTTGCTCATCTACTCAGAAAATCTTCAATACTGTATATAATCCGAAAATTCGTTACCGTGTTCACAACAGCCCGCCCATGGCCCCTTTCCTGAGCTACACGAGTCCACTCTCACTGCAACCTGATTTTTTTTTATTGCTAGAGGGGTGGGACTAAGTTCCTTGTACTGCGGCCACTTCTGGCCTACTGTAACAGCCCCAGATGATAGGTGAGGGTGATTGTGGAGCAATTGGTGGAATGAAGACTGACAGGTGAAACCGAAGTCCTCGGAGAAAACCTGCCCTAGCGCCATTTTGTCCACCACAAATTCATCTTGACCAGACCCGGGATCGAACACGGGCTGCCGCGATGGGAAGCCAACGACTAACGGCTTGAGCTATGGCGCGGCCTTTCACTGCAACCAGATACTTCAGAACGTAATTTTTGGGGGTAACAGTCGGCTGTATTCGGCCAAAAAGAAATACAAAACTGTACGGACATGATACGAGATCCGTGTGATGTGCAGGGTTTGTAGAAGGCCCGGAACTTGTGCACGTATTCATTATAAAATGTGTGAAATATAACGAGGTGCGCAGACTGCCTCTCCGTCCTTCGGGATGTGACAGCTTGGGAACCGCTGAACAAACTTTTCGTGATAGCTCGTATTAGAGAGTTCCACTAACGTTTGTCGTTATTTGCAGACTTTTTTGGTTAAAATCGGGCAACAATAACGGGACACTTGACATGAAGATTTACACAACTTTCTGCCCCCGCTTCCATGGTGTTTCTTTTTATTGCTAGTGAGGTGGGACTAAGTCCCTTGTACTGCGGCCACTTCTGGCCTATTGTACCAGCCCCAGATGATAGGTGAGGGTGATTGTGGATCAATTGATGGAATGAAGATTGGCAGGGAAACCGAAGTAAACCTGCCCCAGCGCCACTTTGTCCACCACAAACCCCACTTGACCAGACCCGGTATCGAACCCGGACCGCCGCGGTGGGAAGCAAGCCACTAACCGCTTGAGCTATGGCGGGGCCTTTCTATAGCGTAACTCGACAAATGTTTATCGGAGTGAAAAATGTTTCGGTTACAAGTTGCAGAGAAACATGAAACACGTGTTTTACACTTTATTTTTTGAAATTCTGACAGTTTTCGAGATAAACGGAAATAGTACTCTTTCTGAATCACCCTTGAGCAGTATCTATCGGCTGCTTATTCAAGAGGCTGAAGGTTAACAATCACGGACTGAAGTTCTCCAAGCACTAACAGACGGATCACACAGAAATTTGTACGCCTTGTTTACGTTTCGTAACTTGTCTGTCAAATATACTGTTATAATATGTTAAGTTGATTTTCGATAGATGAATTCTTTTCGATGTATGTGCAAACGCTGGAGTTTCGACTCGTGAATGCACCGTGTGTGGCAAAATGAGGCCCTTGCCCCGTGTCCGAGGGCCACTTGTACAGATACGTTAGCCAGTCCAGAGCTGCCTGGCACTTCAGGACGAGTTTCTGTCGTGCTAGGACACAGGGGGTTCTTCAGCACTACTTCAATATCTGTACTGGCTTCATGGTGTAAGGGTAAGCAGTTTTCGTTTGGAATCCCGCTTTCGAATCGCGACAATTCACGTTGAGTGCTTTGTTTGTTGTCCTCATCTTTTAAGGTAGACGCAGGGACTGTGCCTTGAAATCGGCAAAAACCACTTCCAATTCAATTGAATTTTATATTTCGTATGCCCTTCGAAGTGGAAAAATGTCGTTAAACAAACGGATAAAAATGCGATACTTGCGGGTTTTTATGACAGAATGTTAGTAGCTAACACGATCGAAGCTCTGCAAGGTTCTGGAAGCGTTTACTTTCCTGCTGGATATTCACTTCTAACGGGAGTCAATCCCGGCTGACTTCGCATGAGATTTGCGGCGGACAAAGTGGCGCGGGAACAGACTTTTCTCCAAGTCTGTTGTCTTTCCCCTGCTAATTATGATTCCATCATTGCTCCGTACGCATCTATGACCGCACACTGAGGTGTGCGATGCCCGTGAGCAGGCAGCACCTTATCACATCCTCGATCTTTAAGTTAGGCGCTTCTTCTCTGCCCCAGGGCCAGGGAGTTTGTTTTTTGGCGGTTTCCGATGAGAACCCAAAGGAATTTGTCTGCTCACATGGAACAACTGAAGAACCGCTCGGCAGATTTCGGTTAAATTTCATATTTGCATGTTGTACTAACACGCACTTTCGGTTTCAATCGGATCAGTTTGACGGCCACTGCTTGGCCTCATGCCTGCCGGAATGGACGCATCTCGAGGAGAACCGGTTCAATAAGTTTGCTAGTGAGCTAAGACTGTTCTGAACCAAGGTTAATGACTTCAAGAGGAACAGGCGCTTTACTCCTAGGGCACAGTTTCCAAGAATCTTGCTGTGTTCGAGATAAAGTAAACCCTCTCTAATCCGGAGTAATTGTGAAGGGGAGACGTCATCCGGATTAAGCGATAAGCCGTATTTATGAAGCAAAAATGTAACCCTAAAAGACAAAAAAAATAAATTTAGAACACAAATAAATGGAAAAATTAATGATATAAATAGTTCTGAAGAAAATAAAAAAATCACCGTTGAACCTTCCTACTTTTTTTTATTGCTAGTGGGTCGGGACTAAGTCCCTTGTACTGCGGCCACTTCTGGCCTATTGTACCAGCCCCAGATGATAGGTGAGGGTGATTGTGAAGCAATTGGTGGAATGAAGATTGGCAGGGGAAACCGAAATACTCGGAGAAAACCTACCCCAGCGCCACTTTGTCCACCACAAATCCCACTTGACCAGACCCGGGATGGAACCCGGGCCGCCGCGGTGGGAAGCCAGCGACTAACCGCTTGAGCTATGGCGCAGGCATCTGCCTTCCTGCCTTCTTTTAAAATATGAACTCAACCGCGAACGGTTTTTTTTTTTCATATTTCGATCCGGATTATGCAACATCGGGATGAACTGTAACCGGATTAGCGAGGGTTTACTATAATTAAACCGAAAAGGGGGGGATGCCTATACGTACGTTTCCGAACTTGTATATTCAACAGTTATCAGTGGCCTCCCGCGTACACGCCAAAATTACCAAAGTTTCCTATTCTCGGTAATAATTAAAGATTTCTCCCCTCCAGAATTTAGAGGCTCACTTGTGTATAAATATGTATTTAATGACATGTAAATAACGTTCTTATCAAGTCTCATATTGTCGGCCATAAAGTGTTTATTGACACCAAAATATTGCGTCATTTGTTTCAGCAACATATCGCCTAAAAACAAAAGAAAGTCGTGACCGAGTTTAGAGTCTTGCGGTAAGATTTCTTTCACTGCTTTGATGCAAAGCCGCATTGCAACAGGAATATGCAGCAAACATGGAATAGTTTGTTCACGTGCTTGTTTTCCCGTCACTGTGTGTGTCGAGAGGGGACAGTGAACCATTAATACCGATTGCTTATTATTTCCCGATATAGAATTGAGAGGAATGCATATGGGATATTTGTGGGAAAGCCAGAAGGAAAGAGACCACTAGGAAAGCCAAGACGTAGGTTGGTGGATAATATTAAAATGGATCTTAGAGCTATAAGATGAAGTATTATGGGCTGGATTGATCTGGCTTAGGATAGGGACCAGTTGAGAACTGTTGTGAACACGGTAATGACCCTTGGGGTTCCGTAAAGTTTTGGGAAATTCTGGAGTAGCTGCACAACTGGCGGCTTCTCAAGAAGTTCTCAGCTCCATGAAGTTAGTGTTTTCTCACCGTAGGTCTGTAGAAAACTGCATAATGAGGATCTTCATAACTTGTACTCTTCTCCAAGTATAATTAGAATGATGAAGTCGAGGATGAGGTGGCCAGGTCATGTCGCACGAATGAGGGAGACGAGGAATGCGTATAGGATATTGGTTGGAAAGCCAGAAGGAAAGAGACCACAGAGAAGACCAAGGCGTAGGTGGGTGAACAATATTAGAATGGATCTTAGAGAGATAGGATGGGATGGTATGGATTTGATAGATCTGCTTCAGGATAGGGACCAGTGGAGGGCTCTTGTGAACACGGTAATGAACCTTCAGGTTCCATAAAATGCTGGGAAATTCTTGAGTAGCTGCAGAATTGGAGGCTCCCCCAGAAGGGCTCAGCTCCATGAGTAAGTAAGGAAGGTCTGTAACGCGAAGAGCGCGGACGGTAGAAAATGCCTGCTGCCGGGCACACCTCCGTCTTGTACTCCCTCTTTATACGAAGTCCGCTTGGCAGTTCCTGGCAAGTTGCTTGGGCTGCAAGAAAATGGCCCCAACTGGCACCGAGTTCGAGTGACAAGTGGAATATTACACAGAGGTTATTGAGTGTCTGAGACACTCTTCCAGCTGACACAAGTGACTATATTGCTTATTTACCGATGCCGTCAATAGCTCAGGCTATGTAGTGTCGTATGTAAGGAATGAATACTTCTCTATCATTACATGTTTCGGCCGTACGCCTAATGATGGTGCTGTACGGCCGAAACATGTAA